GGCCGAGCCGTGCCCCGCGCGCCCGCGCGAGCGAGCGAGGCGAGGCGCCGGCTCCGGCTCACGCGGCAGGGCTTGCGTGCCTTGCCGCCCGCTCGAGCACGGGCGCGCGAGGCGAGCGCCGCCAGCATCTGGCCCACGCTGTGACCCGCCGCGGCTCCTTCCCCCACGCAGCAATCTTCATCCTCTGGTGGGCTTGTTTTCCACCACCACCACCACAAGTAGGACGGGGAGAGGGCCCTCCTCCTCCTCCTCCTCCCCCTCCTCCTCCTCCTCCTCTTCCTCCTCCTCCTCCTCCTCCTCCTCCTCCTCCTCTGCGTCCTCCTTCTCCTCATCCTCCACCTCCTCCCCCCTCCAACTTCTGGTGGTGGTGGTGGAAAACAGGCCCATGCTTCTGGGCGGTTTGCTGGCGCTCCCCGAGGGCGGAAGCCAGGAGGCGAGGCATCGTGCCGGGACCGAGAGGATCACGGCGTCGGAGGTCAGGCCCCGAGGAGGGGGGGCGGCGGGAGGCGGGCGGGCCCTGCGCGGCGCCCGCGCCATGCCGAGCCGGGGCGGCTGCGCGGCGTGCGGCGCGCCGCCGCCCCCGAGGGCGCGAGCGCGGGCCCGGCGGCGCAGAGCGGCGAAGGGTGGGGGGGGGGGGGGCGATCCGCGGAGTGCCCTGCCAGCCACGGCGCGGCACCGGCGGCATCCGCGGGGGAAAGGCGGGGTGAGGATCTGCGCGCGCGCCGCCGCCGCCGCCGTCACCGTCGCCGTCGCCGTCGCAGTCGCAGTAGTCGTCGTCGTCGCCGTCGCCGTCGTCGTCGTCGCCGTCGCCGTCGCCGTCGCCGTCGTCGTCGTCGTCACCGTCGTCGTCGTCGTCGTCGTCGTCGTCGTCGTCGTCGTCGTCGTCGTCGCCGTCGTCGTCGCCGTCGCCGTCGCCGTCGCCGTCGTCGTCGTCGTCGTCGTCGTCGTCGTCGTCGTCACCGTCGTCGTCGTCGTCGTCGTCGTCGTCGTCGTCGTCGTCGTCGTCGTCGTCGTCGTCCGTTGTGCGTAAGATATGGTCGTCGTTGACATCGAGCACGGAGTGTCAACGAGCGATGCCTCTGGGCGGTGGGCCTCCGGGGCCACGGCTGGATCCGCATCGCTGGGGTGGCCACGGCTGGATCCGCCTCAAGATTCTGATCAGAACGCGCCCTGAGACACGCCCAGGGATCGACCAACCGCGTCGTCGACGACGACTGAATCGCGGCGGATTCGGCTGCCCACTTCACGAAACGTTCACGCTGGGCAAAGCCTCTGCTCAATCCTCTCCCTCGTCCACACCCTGCCTCCTCAAGCTCTTCTGCCTCATCCTCCCTCATCCATTCTGCTCTTTCCTTGTCCTCTTCCTCCTCCTCGTCGTCCTCCTCCACTTCCTCCTCCTCCTTTTCCTTTTCCTTTCCCTCCTCCTCCTCCTCCTCCTCCTCCTCCTCCTCCTCCCTCCCTCCTCGTTTCTGCCTCCTCCTCCTCCTCCTCGGCCTCCTCCTCCTCCTCCTCCTCCTCCTCCTCCTCCTCCTCCTCCTCCTCCTCCTCCCCCTCCCCCTCCCCCTCCTCCTTCCTCCTCCTCCTCCTCCTCCTCCTCTTCCTCCTCCTCCTCCTCCTCCTCCTCCTCCTCCTCCTCCTCCTCCTCCCTCCAAGACGACGTCGGCGGCTGCGGCGACGGCGGCGGCAGGCGACGACCATAATCGACGTCGTGTCGGGCTCTCCAGCAATCTCCAGAGGTCCCGGGAGGCCTCCGCAGGCCCCCGCGGCCCTCGGCCGACGGCGGCACACGAGCGGCGGCCGCGACAATCGAGCGCGGCCGACACTGTTCCCGACTTGTGCTGTCACGTGCGCAGCCGCACCTGACACACTCTGCACGTGCCCCGAACGTGGCGCGCCTGGCCTGGCCGAAGTACAGTCGGGGCGTTGACCTAAGGAACCTTAAATAAGGAACGAGGCCCCTTTTTTCCATAAGTTGAACTTCGATTTCTTATCGAAAACATAAGGAAAACCTGAGGCAAGCTGTGAAACACTTCAGGAACACGGAGCCCCTCCCCAACGAAAAGGGTTCCTTCTTCAGGGCCCCGACTGTATGCGGCACACCTGGCGCACGCGGAGCACGGGGCGCTCCTGGTGCACCAGGCAGGCCTGGCACGCTCGGGCCCCAGGGATGCCTGGCGCGCGTGGCGCGCCTGGCACGCGTGGCGCACCTCGCCCCAGCGTCGCGCACATGGGGTCGGTTATGGTGCCCAGTAGCTGTCCATCCAAAGACGACCGCTCAACATGCTGAGGCTCGGGTGTTACTTATGTGTTGGGAGGGCGGGTGGAAGTGAGCTAGACGGCTTGTTATCTAGGAAGGTGTTTTGATCACTGTTCAATAATAGATATACACCCCCTCCCCCACCTGGCCGGCGGCAAGCCTGGAACCATACCGACTCCATGCGGGCCCGGGGCAAAGTCTTGAGTCATGATCGCGAGGTCCGCGAGCACTTTGTATTTTTGTTGGCAGGGACGGCGGGGGTGGTGGCGTATGGTCTGCTGTGCGCAGGCCACCAGGTACAACGATGGGCACTGGCTTTCGACAAGGATGTCGGGGGCCGACATGTTTCCCGACTTGTGCTGTCACGTGCGCAGGCGCACAGGACACACTCCGCACGTGCCCCGAATGTGGCGCACCTGGCGCGTCTGGAGTATGCGGCACATCTGGCGCACGCGGAGCGCGTGGCGCATCTGGCGCACCAGGCGTGCCTGGCGCGCTCGGGCCCCAGGTCCCTAACGTCGCGCACATGGGGTCGGTTTTGGTTCCCAGTCGCTGTCCATCCAAAGACGACCGCTCAACATGCTGAGGCTCGGGTTTTACTTATGTGTTGGGAGGGCGGGTGGGAGTGAGCTAGACGGCTTGCGGGCGGGTGGGTAGCATCCTACCCCCTCCCTTTGGGCCTGGAAAGGGGAGGGAGGCGGGTAGTTAGAATTTCAAGATGGGCCCAAGGTAATTCCAAGGGGGCCCTCGGCAGCCCAAGACGGCCTCCAAGATGGGTCAAGATAGCCGAAGATGGTCCCATATAGTCTCCCACATACCTCCTAGATGCCCCAAGGGAGCCAAGACGGTTTCAAGTGCCCTTCGAGCCTTCCAAGGCACCCTTCAATGGGGCAAAATCATTCAAACACCTAAGGAGGGCCAATGTTGTGTGCGTTCTCGCTTTTTTGCCTCCGAGGAGCCTTTGAAGCCTCAAAATGGCCCAACGATAACCCAAGAAAGCCCGCAGAGGGGCCCAACAGCGCCCAAGACAGCCCCAAGGGCGCCCAAGAGACGCGCAAGGGTGGCCCCAGAGGGTCCCAAGATGCCAATCTTGAGTCTCCGAGGGGGGGGGCCTGAATCACTTGCCCAAGCGCGTTCGGTGGCGGCTTCGAACGGGTTTTGCCGTGGGCAGCGCTCTCCCGCGAGCCGCTCGACTCCTCCTCCTCCTCCTCCCCGCCCCTGCTTACAGCCCCTCCCCGCCCACAGGCCCTCCTTGCCCTTTGGCCCTCCCTGCCTGCCCTCCTGCTCCCTTCTGCCCCCTCTCCCCCTTCCTCCCTCCTCTCCCCCTCCCTTCTTTCCTCCCTCTCTCCTTCGCCCCTTCACAATTGCACACTATGAATGCTACTCTTCTCTCTCCCCTGGCGACGTCCGGGAAATATTCGGCCCCCCTCCGCGTTCTGGTTCTTACACACTCTTGGGAATCAAGTTTCGCTTGGGCTTGTTTTTGTTCAAAATGCTGAAGCGCTAGCCTCATGTTCGAGCTACCGCTCGTTCCGAATCGTGCTCCCGCTGCAACGCTGGCCTCATTTCCGCGCTTCCGCTCGTTCCGAATCGTGCTCCCGCTGCAGCGCTGGCGTCATTATTTCCAGCGCCATGCCACGGCATAGTTTTCGATCCTTCCAAATCGGCCGCCAATTCTAGAAAATGCCCGCCCCCCCCCGAGAAACCATCGGAAGTGATTCCACATTCGGTGTCGATTCGTTGATTTTTTGTGTCGCAGAAGCCCCCACTTTGGGGCGTCGCCACGCCATGCTATGTCAAGCTACGCGTTGATCTTCAACACCATGCTATGCCATGTAAGGCTATGCCTTGCTACAATATCCGACCGTGCGAATAGAGAGGCGATCTACGCCACGGTGAAGGATGAGAGGGAGGGGTAGGACGACAGACATGACGCGAGCGCACCTAGCTTGCCTCCCGGGGAGCTGCCCGCCCGGGCTCATGGGTACCTCCACCTGGGGCTGATTGACACAAACTAGTCCGAACCATAGTCCTCCTCCTCCTCCTCCTCCTCCTCCTCCTCCTCACTCCTCCCTTCTCCTCCCTTCTCCTCCCTCCTCCTCCTCCTCCTCCCTTCTCCTCCCTTCTCCTCCCTCCCCTCCTCCTCCTCCTCCTCCTCCCTTCTCCTTTTTCCTCCTCCTCCTCCTCCTCCTCCTCCTCCTCCCTTCTCCTCCCTCCTCCTCCTCCTCCTCCTCCTCCTCCTCCTCCTCCTCCTCCTCCTCCTCGGCCCTCGGGCTCGAGGTTTCGAGCGCTCTGGTGTTCTCTGCATGTGCTTCTGGCCTCCGCAGGGGGACCCATCGAGGCCTCCACCCTGCCTCCCTGCCTCCCTGCCTCCCTCCCTCCCTCCCTCCCCTCCCTCCTCCCTCCCTCCCTCTCCTCCTCCTCTCTCCTCCTCCTCCCCCTCCTCCTCCTCCTCCTCCTCGCTCTAAAACAGGGCTAGGATCGGGATAAATCGCTCCAGAGCGTTCCGGAGCGCTCTCAGAGCGTTCGGGAACGCTCTGGAGCGGCCGCGGCGCCCAATACGTCCTCCAAACCCGCCGATTCTCAAAGATTTCGAGTTATCCCGATCCGATTTTGTCCCGATCTTCGCGTCGTTTTACCCTCTTGCCTCCGTCCCTCCCTGCCCCGGCTAAGTACTCCCTGCTCCCTCCTCCTTCATATCTCCCCCTATCCTCCCCCTACCCTGCCCTTCTCTCCTTCCCAGTCCTTGCGTCTTCCTGCGAGCTCTGATCGGTGACGGACTGAATCACTGGATCACTCGGTGCTCGAAAATTCGACATTTGGCAGCGCGTGTCATTAGAAACAGTTATTGGAGCGACAATGCACTCCATGAGTGAAACTGGGGACGTGATGCCCAACATAGAGAACCTACAGCACAAAGCGCCCAGCAGTTCCATGCCGGCCCACGCCGCACAAGGATGTCAGCGGGGTGACCTGGCATCAGTGAGGGCCACACGTCTTGAACACAAGCCTGGATAAACCAATGCAAATTTGGCAATGGGACCAGCCTTGACTAGCTGCCTTAGATGAACCAGCACAATGCCAATCCATCACACTGACCACGCCTAAACAATAGGATGGGCAATTTGCGCACTCGGGACTGCGGGTGGCCTCCCCGGGTGAAACGCATGAGAATAATCTGACCGCACCGCGTCCCCATCCGCCAAGCGATCCCGGAGAGATCGGCCTGGCGAGATGATCCAAGACTGTTGGCCTCGTGCATACCTCGCGCACTGATTCTCAGGCAGATGCAGACGCCTGGTTCTCCTTCAGCCTGTCTGAGCCACGACCGTCATGCAGCGCCTTGAAGCTATGCCTCCTGTTGATGAGCGTAATGCTGGACGCCCTCCTCCGTCCTTTTCCCGCCTCCGTGCACCCGCCTCATTCTTCAAACCTTCTACAGCTCTCTCCCGTCCGTCTCCACCCTCACTTACCCGTCCACCCTCAACCGTCCAACCATCCTCCCCTCTGCCTCTTCACAGATTCTCCCACCTCCCTTTCTATACTCCTCCTTCCCCTTCCTTCCCTCTCCCCCTCACTTTCCATCTCTCTCTCTTTCTCTATCTATCTGTAGTTCTACATCTGTATCCATCGTCCTCTTCCTCTCCCTCTCCCGCTCCCTCACCCTCTTTCTGTATATAATTCTCAATGTTTTTCGCCTCCCCCTCATTCTCTCAAGTTCTCTCCCATTGCCTCTCATTCTCTCTCTCTCCCTCTCTCTCTCTCTTGCTCTCTCCCTCCCTCACGCATTAGAAGGCCCAATTCTGACTAGCAGTTAAGGGACCCCTAGCCCTCTTGGAGCGGACCTGAGTGAAGAGTTCCAAAACATTAGGATCAAGGGGGTCTTTTCAGCAGCAAATCATAAACCACCTTCACGTCCTTCCCCTATTGCAGCGACGGGGACCTCATCTAGGTCCTCCAGTGTCGATGAAACTAGTGTTGCCAATCAAGTTCGCACCTGTTTTTGAAGAACCTGCCGCGCTCTGGCCCTGCGCGCCTGGCTGCTGCTGCTGCCCCCCCAACTGCTCATCGTCGAACTCTTCGGCGTCTGAGCGTCCCTCCTGCCTCTCGGCCGTCCCCCTTTCCCTCTTTGCTCGCCTGCCAATTCGCTAGCTAGTGCCCCTATCTAGCTTCTCGCTGGAGCGGATTTCGCCGCATCGCCGCTGACGGAACAAAGGTTTGAAGCACCCGGCGGCGCGAGGCTTGCGTCGGCCGTCCCCGGACTGCTTGATCCGGTTCCCGGCCCTCCCGTGTGCTGGGCCCTCGTGTTGACTTCGCCGCGCCGCACCGCACCTCCTTCTCCTTCTCCTCCTCCCCCTCCTCGCCTCCTCGCCTCCTCTGCCTCTCCTTCTCCCTCTCCTGCTCCCCCTCCCCCTCCTCTCCATCTCCTCTTCCTCCTCAGCCTTGTCATCCTCTTCTCCTTCTCCTTCTCCTCCTCCCCCTCCTCGCCTCCTCCCCTCCTCTCCTTCTCCTTCTCCCTCTCCTGCTCCTCCTCCCCCTCCTCCTCCTCCTCCTCCTCCTCGTCCTCCTCCTCCTCCTCCCGCTCCTCCTCCTCCTCCTTGTCATCATCCGCATTTCCTTCTCCTTCTTTTCCTCCCACTTATCTCCTCTCCTCTTTCTTCTCGTCCTTGTCATCGTCATCCTCATCGTCGTCATCATCGTCATCGTCGGCATCATCGCCGCCCAATTTCGGCACACCTCTCGCACACTTCGTGGCCCCACAGGATGCTCCACCAAAGGCTCCAGTGGCTGGGCTCACATGGTGGCCCGCCCCATTTCGTCACACCCCTCGCATGTCTCGCAGCCCCGCAGGGAGCTGCAGCGAAGGCGCCAATGGCTTGATTCACATAGTGACCCGCCCCACTTCGGCAGACCTCACACGTTTCGTGGCACCCAAGGGAGCTCCACGGAGGGCCCGCGTGGCTGAGTTCCAATAGTGACATACACTGCTTCGGCACACCACTCACACGTTTCGTGGCCCCACATGGGGGCTCCACCGAAGGCGCCAGTGGTTTGGTTCTTATGGTGACCTGCCCCACTTCGACGGACTCCTCGCGCGTTTCGTTGCCAACAGTGATCTGCACCGAAGGCGCCAATGGTGGTTTGGTTCTTCTGGTGACCGCCCCACTTCGGCGGACCCCTCGCACGTTTCGGGGCCTGGCAGACCGCTCACACGATTCGTGGCACCAGAGGAGCTCCACCGACGGCCCCCGTGGCTGGGTTCCAATGATGACCAACCCCTTTTCGGCACAGCCCTCACACGTTCCGTGGCCCTCCAGGGAGCTCCACAGAAGGCGACGTTGGCTGGGTTCACACAATGACCCGCGCCTGATTCCATTGCAGCACACCCTCTCACACGTTTCGTGACCCCATAGGGAGCTCCACCGAAGGCTCCAGTGGCAGGGTTCGAATGCGGTGCCCGCCTCAATTTCGGCACACCCCTCACACGTTTCGCGGCCCCCTGGGGAGCTCCACCGAATGCCCCAGTGGCTGCGTCCGCATGGTGTCGCCTCGCCCATTTCGCGTCGCCCCGCTCAATCGAGTATGGCCATGCGTTCCTTGTCGACGCGTTCAAGGGTACTGCAAATGTTTCAACATGTTCATGCGCATTGACCCGTCCTGCGCACAAGCGCAACGCGTTGGCATAGGGTCGGGTTCTTCGCCAGGGTAAATTCCTTACTGTTTTGAGGAGGCCGTCCTCGATTGCTAGGTCGTATGCTTGCACTGGTCTTGAAGATGCCTTTCACGGGTTGCTTGGTCTTGTGCCCTTATACTGTTTTCGAGCAAGTCTTCCTCGGGTTGCTTGGTTTTGTGCCTTTACTGTTTTGGGAGAGGCCTTGTCTCGGGTAGCATATTCAGATTTCCGAGCAGTGCAAAATCACATTAGGCAATGACAAGCAATGCCAAGCAACACAACGCAGCGCCAAGCACAGCCCAGCACTACGAAGCAGCGTTAAGCAACCCCGTGCAATGCAACGACATGCAACGCAAGCAACGCCAAGCACCGCCACGAAACGTCATGCTGCCAAGCAACGCGTCGCAATGCCAAGCAGCATCGAGCAACGCCAACCAACGCCTGTACTGCCAGGCAATGCCAAGCGGCTTAAAAGCAGCGCCAAGCCAAGCAACGCACTGCACAACAACGCGATGCCAAGCACAACAACATAATGTCGGCCACTGCCTGTTAGGTAACGATCCCAGGATTGGGGTCCCGCTGGGGTCATTCTCTCAACTTACCATTCTTCCACAATCTCACTACCGCATTCTCTATTCCCCCCACTCTCTCATTCTCTCACTCTCCAGTTATCGTATTCCCTCATTTTCTCACCCCTCATCATCTTACACTGACTCTCTCATTCTCTCAATTCCTAATTCTCTCATCCTGTCATGTTCTCATTCTCGTTTTCTGTGACTCCCCCATTCTCTGGTTTTCTCGATCTTTCACTCTCATGTTCTCATTATCTCAATACTTCATTCCCTCTCATTGTCTCAATGCGTAACTCCCTCATTCTCTCAATTTCCTATCCTCTCATGGGCTTATTCTCTCAGCCTCTCCGTTATATCTTAACCGGTCACTTCTCATTATATCGACCTCTCCTTTACCACAACGCTCTCTCTCTCTCTCTCTCCTTATCCCCTCCCTTTCCCCTCCCATTCCCCCTCCCCCTCCTCCTGCCCCTCCACCTCTACATCTCTCTCTGCAATCAATAAAACCCAACCCTCTTCTCCCCCCTGGAGATAGCCGTACATTGGAAGAACCACCTCCGCGTTTTGTTATTACGAGCAAGATTTCACACATTGATATTCCAGATGGATAGTTCTCCAGCCACTCTGTGGTGATGGGTCCTCGTTCTGAATACGCATCGGGACTGCGTCCTTTCCTCTCCTCTCTCCTCCCCCTCCTCCCTCCTCCCATACCTGCCTCTGTCCTCCGCATGCACATTTTTGCCCCCCCGCCCCCCCACACACGTTTCGTGGCCCCATCGGGAGCTCCACCGACGGCCCCAGTGAAAGGGTTCAAATGCGGTACCCGCCTCTATTTCGCCGCACCCCTCACAGGTTGGGAGCTCCACCGAAGGCTCCAGTGGCAGGGTTCGAATGCGGTGCCCGCCTCAATTTCGGCACACCCCTCACACGTTTCGCGGCCCCCTGGGGAGCTCCACCGAAGGCTCCAGAGACAGGGCTCGCATGCGGTACACGCCTCCAGGTCGGCACACCCTCTCACACGCTTCGTGGCCCCATAGGGAGCTACACCGAAAGCCCCAGTGGCAAGATTCGCATGTGGTACCCACTTTCATTTTGGCACATCCCTCGCACGTTTCGTGGCCCCACATAACGGGGCTCCACTGAAGGCCCCAGTAGCAAGGTTCGCATGCGGTACCCGCCTTCATGTCGGCACACCCCTCACATAACTCGTGGCCCAACAAGGAGCTCCGTTGCCGGCCCCAATGGCGAAGGCCGGATGCGGAACCTTGTGCCGTACCGCTTGCATGCGGTACCCGCCCTCCTTTCGGCACACACACACACACCTCACATGTTTTTGCCCCCATCGGGGGCTCCCCATCCTTCGTCCCACCTGCCCCGTGCGGTACTGCTTCGCCAAGGTAACTCAATGGGAACGTTTCGGGTGTGTCAAAACGGTGCTTCCGCTGCATAGTGGGCATCGGTTTAGGATCGGCTCTTCGCTAACATCGTTCAGCATGGCTTTCCCGCCACAACGCGGGGCACTTGTCTGGACCCGAACGCGTCCACATCATTGTCATCCCGCTCCGTTCCCTTCCCCCGCCTTTCCCTGGATATCACGCTCCTCTCGCTTCTCCCACTCCAACTCCTGCTGCTTCGTTGTCACCTCGTCCTCCTCCTTCCTCATCCTCCTCGCCTTCCTCCTGCTCCTGCTCCTGCTCCTGCTCATCCGCCACCTCCTCCTCCAATGTACGTAGTTGTTGTCATTTTGCGCATGGTGCGATGGCTTCTTCCCAACCCTCCTTGTGTGGGCATTTGTTTTGAATAGAGCACTGCGGTCGCATCTCCTTCTCCTCCTCCTCCTCCTTCTCCTCCTCTTCCTCCTCCTCCTCCCGCCTCCCGCCTTGAGCGTACCCCTTGTGTGTGAATATTGCCTGCGGTACCTCTTGTGTGCATTTTGCCTGGGGGGCTGCGATCCGCGAAACTGTCGCCACTTTCGAGGGCTGCTTTTGGGGGGGCAGCATAGTGGGTAGCCGCCGCAGGTCCACAGTAGACCTCGCTATCCCTGGGGGGGGGGGGTGCGACTTGCCATTCTGTCGCCGCTTTCGAGGGCTGCTTTTGGGGGGCAGCATAGTGGGTAGCCGCCGCAGATCCACAATAGACGTCGCTATCCCTGGGGGGGGGCTGATTTGCAAAACTGTCGTCGCTTTCGAGGGCTGCTTGGGGGCCAGCATAGTGGGTAGCCGCCGCAGATCCACAGTAGACCTCGCCATCCCTGGGGGGCTGCGATTTGCGAAACTGTCACCACTTCGATGGCTGCTTGGGGGGGGGCAGCATAGTGGGTAGCCGCCGCAGGTCCACAGTAGACCTCGCCATCCCTGGGGGGCTGCGACTTGCCATTCTGTCGCCGCTTTTGAGGGCTGCTTTTGGGGGGGCAGCATCAGTGGATAGCCGCCGCAGATCCACAGTAGACCTCGCCATCCCTGGGGGGGGGGTGCGACTTGCCATTCTGTCGCCGCTTTCGAGGGCTGCTTTTGGGGGGGCAGCATATTTGGTAGCCGCCGCAGATCCACAGTAGACCTCGCCATCCCTGGGGGGGGGGGGCTGCGATTTGCAAAACTGTCGTCGCTTTCGAGGGCTGCTTGGGGGGCCAGCATTGTGGGTAGCCGCCGCAGATCCAAAGTAGACCTCGCCATCCCTGGGGGGCTGCGATTTGCGAAACTGTCGCCACTTTCGAGGGCTGCTTGGGGAGACAGCTATAGTGCGTCGCCGCCGCAGACCCACATTAGACCTCGTCATCCCTGGGGAGCTGCGATTTGCGAAACTGTCGCCTCTTTCGATGGCTGCATGGGGGGCCAGCATAGCGATTTGCAAAACTGACACCACTTTCGAGGGCTGCTGGTGGGCCCAGCGGAGTGAGGCACCGCGCAGATCTGAGCGAGACTTTGCCGTCCCTGGGGGGCTGCGATCTGCGAAACCGTCGCTACTGTCAAGGGCTGCTGGCGGGTCCAGCGGAATGAGGCACCGCGCAGATCTGAGCGGGACCTCGCCGTCCTTGGGGGAAGGCGATCTGCGAAACCGTCGCTACTGTCAAGGGCTGCCGGCGGGTCCGGCGGAATGAGGCACCGCGCAGATCTGAGCGGGACCTCGCCGTCCTTGGGGGAGGGCGATCTGCGAAACCGTCGCTACTTTCGAAGGCTGGTGGCGGGTCCAGCGGAGTGAGGCACCAAGCAGATCTGAGCGGGACCTCGCAATCCCTGGGGGGCTGCGAGCGTCACGAATGCTGCTCGCAGAAATACATGCGCCCATGTCACGTCATCACCTCCCTATATGCCCCGCATTGCGCAAGGGTTGGGTACGTCGCCAAGGTAATTTTGAATTCCAGGTCCGCTATGACAACGCTGGCGGATGAAGAAACTGTGCTGGCAAAAGACCCATCAATACGCAAGATTGAATACCGCAAGACAGGTGGGACGAAAGAAAAGGACATCCTTATGGGGCCAACAAAGCGTGAGAACTGTGCCGGCATGGACGCGGGCACCGCATGCAAACCCTGCCACTGGTGCCGTCGGAGCAGCTCCCATTGAGACCAGGAAGCGTGTGAGGGGTGTGTCACGTCGACATATGGGCGATTGCCACATGCGAGCCCTGCTGCTGGGGCCTTCAGTGGAGCTTCCTCTTGGGTCACGAAACGTTTGAGGAGTGTGCCGGTTGGAGGCGGATACAGAATGCGAGCCCTGCCACTGGGGCTTTCGGTGGAGCTCCCTATGGGGCCACGAAGCGTGTGAGGGGTGTACTGAAATGGAGGCGGGTACCGCATGCGAGCCCTGCCACTGTGGCCTTCGGTGGATTTCCCGATTGCCCAATCGGGCCACGAAACCTGTGAGGGGTGTGCCGACATTGGAGGCGATTGCCGCACGCACGCCCTACCACTGGTGCCTGCGGTGGAATTCCCCGATTGAATGACTAAACGTGTGTGGGGGGTGCCAACATGGGGGCGGATACCGCATGGGAGTGTACGAGCCCTGCCACTGGGGCCTTTGGTGGAGCTTGCTGTAGGGCCAAGGAAAGTTTTAGGAGTGCCGAAATGGAGGCGGGCACCGCATGCGAAACCTGCCACTGGGGCCTTCGGTGGACCTCTCTATGGGGCCACGAAGCGCGTGAGGGGTGTGTCGAAATCGAAGCAGGTACGGCATGCGAGCCCTGCCACTGGGGCCTTCGGTGGAGCTCCCTATGGTGCCACGAGATTTGTGAGGGGTGCGCCGAAGAGGAGGGCGGGTACCCGTAGGAGCCCTGCCACTGGGGCCCTCGACGGGGCACCTCCCTATGGGGCCACGCAACGTGTGAGGGGTGTGCCAGCGTAGACATGCGGAGGGCATAGACAAGGATGGGAGGCGAGAGGGGGGGACGACGCGGGGCGCTGCGTATTCAGAACGCTGGCCCAACACCACAGGGTGGGCGGGACACCTGGGCGCAGTGGGAAGGGATGGGTGGAAGGGGTAAGCTGTCCGACACGGCGCGATCGCTCCCAACCTGATTTTTCCCCTCCCCTTCCCCCGCCCCGGCCCCGGCCCCGGCCCCTCCCCCTTCCCCTCTCGCTCTCGCTCTCGCTCTCTCTCTCTCTCTCCTTCATATTCTCCTCCTCTTCCTCCTCTCCCTCTCCAGCCTCGTCTCGAGAGTTTTGCTCAGAACGAGCTCAGACGCCAAGCGCCCCGCATCCAGTCTTGCCTCGCGATACCAGACACGATCTAGGCCGTGACAGATTGGCATCGCCCCCTCTTTCAATACACGCCCGCGGACGCCACGGCTCCGAAAAGCCCCTGCCGCGAGCGAATCAATCACCAGCCGCCCAAACTACCAAGCACGGGCCGCCAAATGATTCCTTTACCGAAAGCCTGTCCCGAAAAGAAGCCTGCGTCGCTGCGCTCCGGGCGGTGGTGGCGTCGATTGAGCAGTCACTGCCCACACAACGAGCTGGCTCACAATCACCAAACTGAGCTCGACTCGATCAATAATGTTGCTCCGACGAGCGTCACATCAGGAGCGGGCTGATGAAACTGCGCGGGAGAAACAAGATCAGCTACACCATGCTGCCACAAGACGGGCTCCAGCCATGGCCCACCAGGGTTCACAGCCTCGGCCGACGCCCACCAGGGCATCGACGTTACCCCACTCATCAGTTTGGATGCATACCGCTGGGATGCGGATGACGTTATACCGCATGCCAGCAGGCCTTCGCTACCCACGCTTGAAGAGGGCAGTCGATTCCAGCAACAAATCCTACGCAAGGATCAGCTCCTCCTGCTCGCTGTCCTGGCACCAATCAACACCGACCACTGAGGCATCGAAGTCCATGTCCTAGTCCTGCGTAGACCGCCAACATCCACCAAGGCCACGTCAGGACGCATCCAAGAGACCGTCTACCAGCTGGGCCGCGCAGCAGTCAACTGCCTGCAAAACGTTGCCCAGGTTACTCCTTGACCCAGCAGACAGTGTAATACTGATCCGTGGAGCCACTTGTGACGCTGACGCCATCGCGCGGCCGCCCAAGTCGGGCCCGGCCGCCGCCAGCATCGCCGCCGCCGCCTCCGCCGCGCCCGCGGCCGCCGCCTCCGCGCCGGGCGCCGCCCGCAGCCTCGTCATCGAGCCCGCGGCCTCGGCCACCGTCGGCGTGGAAGCGAACGCCGCCCCACGTCGCACCGACGCTCCGCCACGCCCGCCGCGGCCCATCCCCAGGCCGAGGGGGCGCCGCCCGCCGCCGAGGGCCGTGAGCCGCGATCGGCGCCCGCCGGGCGCCCCCGTGCAGGGTTCGGCCCCCGAGCCCCTCTCTCTCTCTTTCTCCCGAATTGTTTTCCGCTCTCCCTCTCTAATTTGTCCCTCTCTCTCTCTCTCGCTTTTTTTTTATTCTCTATCTCTCTCTCTATCTCTTTGTCTCTGTCTCTGCCTGTCTCTCTCTCTCTCTCTCTTTTTCCGTCTGTTCCCCCCATTCCTGCTCCTCCTCCCTTCCTTCCCTCCCTCCTCCCTTCTCCCTTTTCCACCCCTCCGTCTTGTATCCCTCCCTCCATGGTCCTCCCTCTTTGCACCTCCCTCTCCCTCCTACCTCCCCGCTCCTCGTCTCATCATGCCGCTACGGGGCTCCTGTGATGGAACGTGGGGACGCCCTCCACGTGCTTTTGGAGCTGGTTGTTCTTCGACAGCTGGTCCATCAAGAACCTCATGCTCCCGAGGAGGCTGATGACGTCAAGCCTGAGGGTCGCGAGGTCTAATGCGGTCGCGTTGCCCGCCAGCTTGAGTATGCCCTGGACAACCTCCTTCTTGTCGATCCACCCGGAGCTGTCGTCGTCCAGGATCTCGAAGAGCTGGGAGTCGAGCACATCCTCCCTGGTGACGCCGTCCCGGCCGAAGAGGTGATTGAGGAACTTCTGCATGCTCGGCTGGCTGGCGGCCCGCACAGAGGGGGGCAAGAGCTGCGGGCAGTACTTATATCCATATCCAGAGCGTCTTGGACTTTTCGGGAAGAGGTGCCGCAACGCCGAGGCGCACTGAATATGGATAAAATCAAGCCTCTTGGGGCCAGATTTTTATCAATATCCAGTGCGTCTACGGCTTCTGGGGAAGAGAGCCCACGACTCCAAGACGCACTGGATGTGGATATAACTATTGCCCGCAAGAGCGGCACGGCCACGGCCTGCGCGCAGGCAGCGCACCGAGGTGTGAAGGGGAACTGGGACACACAAATAAACGCACACCAATAAAACATATCCCCCATATTTTCCCATATTCTCTGGGTTCTTGGCTCCCCCCCCCCACCTCCCATATTTGTCCCTATTTTCTGGGAGTCGCCGATTAATTGTGTCTGTTGGACGCCCGAGTTATCCGGGGTAACTCGGGTCAGGGGTAACTCGGGTCCGGAATCCCGAAAAAACGAACCCGAGTTAACCCTGACCCGAGTTACCCCTGATGATTCGGGGCTCTGAGTCTGCGTGTTTTTTCCCCTCCTGCAGGGGGCCCCGGCGGGCCTCCCACGGGCCCCCCGCGGAGCCCCCGCGGGCGTCGACAGAGGCCCCCGAGCAGCCCGGGGGGGGCGCGGAGAGCGCCCCGCCGGCAGAGAGGCGGCGCCCGCGCGTGTGTCGAGGCCGCCCCCGGCGCCGCTCGGCGGTCCTGCCGAGGGCTGGGACTGCTTGGCGGTGCCTGCCGAGGCCCAGGCCTAGCGCTCACAACGAAAACATCATCATCATCAGCATCAGCATCATCAGCATCATCAGCATCATCAGCATCATCATCATCATCATCATCATCATCATCATCATCATCATCATCATCATCATCATCATCATCATCATCATCATCATCATCAGCATCATCATCATCATCAGGGCCCGCCGGGGCTGCCTGGGCGTGCTGCCCGTGCGCACCCCGAAGCCTCCCCGGGGCTGCCTTCTGCAGCCGAGGCGGTGGTGGAGAAGCTGATCGACGAGACTCGACCCAACTTTCTGGCCGTGTCTTGCGCGGGCTCTTGGGCCAGCTTCGCGCGCAGCTGCAGCTCCGACCGGGTGGCACGGGGGCCGGAGCCTGGGTCAGCATCCGCTGTCGAAGAAACCCTGGGGCAACTCGTCGATGAGAGGTTTGTCAATGCAGCACGAAGCCAGGAACGAGACACATTCGAATCGGGATTCCGAAACTTCCCCGGTTCGATCCTTGAGGGTGGGGAGGCAACACTTGCCTGTGCCCGATGGGCTCTGCGTCCGTATCTTTTTCTCACGCATATCGTCGTGTAGGTGCCATCTTGGTTTTTGCGCTTTGCCGATGCGCCGTCCGGGCGCAACTTCTTGAGTGAGTGTGGTGATGCAACTGGAACCTCCGAGATCCAGCGGCTCTGGGGGATGTATCGGGCGCCGAGGCCATTCCCGAGCGCTCCAGAACGCCCTCGGAGCTTTCCAGGACGCTTTGAAGCGACTCATCCTGGGCCCGTCTGATTGTAATCGGAGCACCTGAAAGACAGCACCGCGGCTCCTGACGTGTGAGAAGCCTTCTTGGGACCTCTGGGAGGGGACAGGACTGGTCTCAGAGGAACCCAGCCTGCTCAGGACACCGCCTCCCTCTACCCCCCTATTGCGTGCCGCCACGCTGGTCTGCGTGCATGATGAACGACTCTTTCGTGATATGCTTGCTGGCAGTCGAAAATGTTTCCATGAGATTTAGAACCATGGTCTCCCGCTTGTCTGCCGCCGAAGCCTCGATGGCCGTGTCGACGAAGTGCGAGGTAATCACGTTCATGATCGCGAAGATAACAAAGAACGTGTAGAGGACGAACACGTAGACCAGATTGTCATCGATCTGATCCCTGAGCGGCTCGGACTGGGTGGTCCAATCGCGCCCCCCCGAGACCGTGCCGTAGAGCGTCAGCATGGTGTCTGAGACGCTCCCGAATGCCTTTTCCAACATCTCTTTCTCTTTGCTGGAATCCTCGGGGCTGAATTGCGATACCTTGTAATCGGTCACAATCAGCGTGAGCACGACGCCAAATACAGCCGACACTAGGAAGACTACGGTGAAGGTCCAGAAGAGCGCTTTCATCGATGTGAATATAGAGACCAGCAGCGTGCGCAACTCGGGCACCATGCGCAGGAAACGCACGAGCCGCATCAAACGCACGATCCGAAAGAAGCGTAGGACCCCAGCGAGTCGGCTGCGATTCGAGTTTGACGATCCCAACATGTCGACTGCGATGTCGACGAACTGAAAGACGACCAACGAAAAATCGAAAAGATTGCTCATCCAATTTTTCCTGCAACAGAAGAAACCGTGATAACCGAAACTTATAAGCTTCAATACCATCTCTGCCACGAAGACGATGCAGAAGACCGTCTCGATGTCCTTGAATACTTGGGGCGGCTCCTTGAGCCAATGCTGCGCCATGTATTGGGTCTGCACGCATAGCTCCTGGGGAAACCAAGAGTTACCGATACCGATACTCCCCCGGACCCCTCCCGAAGTGCGTTCCGACTGGAGCTCCAGGGCGGATTCGGCCGCGGCGACGAGGGCCTCCCAGGATGGCCACGAGAAGGCGAACGCGAGGGAAGCGCAATGCAGTATTGGCACCCTTTCGCCCTCTGAGCTCCACAACGCTCATCAATATCACACCGTTGATCGCGGTCTCGAACTTGGGGTCCCTCACGAAGAGCGACACCCGCCTGCGCCAACTCCTCTTCGGGGGCTGCCGGGGGTGCCCCTGGCCCAAGGTGCCCCCAGATTTCTGCTCGATGTTGGAGCCCCTGGGACCCTCTGGGCCTCGTGAGGAGGAGGAGGAGGAGGAAGAGGAGGAGGAACAGGAGCATGAGGAGGAGAAAAGGAGGAGGAGAGGGAGGAGGATGATGACGAGGAGGAGGAGGAGGAGGAGAAGAAAAGGAGGAGGAAAGGAGGGAGGAGGAGGAGGAGGAGGAGGCGGGGCACTCTGGGCCATGGGCACCCTAGCAGCACCCGCAGCCTCTGGGACTGCAGCTGCTTCGCCTCCTCGTCGCTGTCCGAGCCCTCCGCGCACGGCTCCTGCAGCAGCGGGGCCTGCTCCTCCGGAGCTCACGCCAGGTGGGGGGCCACCACCATTCGGGTAGAGGATCGGCTCCAGAAATGATTTGCCCCTGACTTGGTTTTCTCGTCGAGCGCGCGAACAACACTGCGCATCATGTGTTCGCAGATCTGCGGATCATTGTGCTTATTCTCCGTAGATTCGACGAGCGAATCAATCTTGGGGCACATCAATTCTGTCGTCGATCCCCTCCTCGAACCACTGGGGGGGGTGGCGCCACTGCTTCGAGGGAGGCGCCGTCCCGCCTCTGGGAGGGGGGCCCCCGAGAGCACTCGAGAGAGCCTCCCCGAAACGACCCCGGGCGCCCGAGGACTCCTTCCGAGCTTCGATCCCGGAGCCTCGGCCGCCAGGAGGCGCCTGGTGACCCCCCCCCCCCAGTGGTGGCCCCGCTTCCGAGCAGGGGGTCGACTACAGAGTTGATTTACCCCAGGATCGTTTGGTTCGCCGACTCTACGGAAAATGCGCAGAGTGACCCGCATGTCGACGAGCATTCTGCGCATTTTTGTTCCGCGAGTTCCACGAGAAAGCTAGATCAGGGGCGAATCAATTCTGCAGTCGATCCTCTACTCGTCGCTTGGCGCTGCCCGATCCTCCCGAGAATCGTCCCAGGCCTGGGAGAGGCTCAGCTCGCGAGTCTGCTTGGAGACGGGCACAAAGGCCTGGGGCGACGACTCGCCGGCGGCAGCCCACGCACGCACGGGCGGGCCGACGGGCAGGGACCGGAGCTCGCTGAGCATGCTCTCTTTCACCCTGTCCAGCTCGCGGCGCAGCGCCTCCTTTAACGGGCGAAGAACGGTATAAAATAAACTGTTTCGCTGTCGGGAGCGCCTGTCCCTGGGCGGCTGGAAAGTTTATACCCCTACGGTGCCACCGCAGGGGTACAAACTTTCCAGCCGCCCAGGGACAGGCGCCCCCGACGGCGGAAAGTTTATTCTATATCGTTTTTCGCTCGCTGACTCCTGGGCGAACCTCTCGAGCTCGCGTCTCATCGCCTCCGTCGTGACGGCGTCAAGCTCGCTGCGGAGAGCGGCGTCCGCGGCCCTCGGCTCCTTCCGGGCCGGCCACGGGCGGGGGAGAGCCTTGCCCCCCGCCAGCCCATGGGGGAGCCCCTCGTGTCGCTGGTCCCTCGAGGCGGCCGGTGGAGCCGAGGTGCCGGGGGGGGAGTGACGGACACCCTGGTATTCGCCGATGTATATTTTTTCCCAATCAGCCTGGGTCCTCGTTTGGAAGAGACAACGCCCCGCGTCTCCCTCCTCCTGCTTCCCTCCTCCCCCTCTTTGCATCTTCCCTCCGCACGCGTCTCCATCGCCCAGTACACCGTTTTGTGGCCCCATATGGGGTCCCAGTGGCGCAGCCCGCACGCGTCTCCCGCGCCCAATACAGCGTTTCGTGACCCCTTAGGGAGCTCCACCGAGGCTTCCAGTGACGCAACCCGCATGCGTCTCTCCCATCCAGTACAGCGGTTCGTGGCCCCACAGGGAGTTTCGCTTCACCGAATGGTCCCAGGGGCGCAGCCTGCATGCGTCTCCCACACCCAGGCATTTCGTGGCCCCAATGGGTTGGCTTCGCCAAGGGCTATGAAGGGACGCGTGGATAATTTTCCCTTTTCAAATTTCATTTTAGTGGTCTCGTGCCGAACAGCGACAGATATTATTGAACTGATCTGCCCAACGAAAAAACAAACGCGCGCAAAATCCACAGCGGATGCCCTCAGAGGAAAACGAACAATGGAATGCTGCATAAGCGGCGCCCGCGTTCCGCCCGCAGTCCAACTGCAGACAGAACCACAAGTGATCAGCCCACCGGGAAGTTCACGAGCATTGCGGCGGGGGCGGTCATACATCGAGCGAGGGCAGCGGAATTATAGCCGTCTGATGGAGCTCAGCCACGGGCTACAAACGCACAACCGCAAACTGGAGGCAAAGAAACAAGAGCAGTGCGAAAGAAGGTCACTGCGAAACCAGACAGATGTCTCCAGGAAGGCGAATGCCTGCCAACGCGCCGCTTGCAATTGTTAATCATGCTGGCCCGCGGTAAACCCCAGCGGCAACGCCCACACGCCAACAATAACACCTCGACGCCCGGTGAAGTCATCGACGCGTTGCTCAAAAATCCTCGCGAGCCAATCCATGAACAACCACAAGGCGAGTCGCCCTGATCAAGGCCGGGTAGTCGGGCAAGCGGCGAAGAAAGCGAGCCGCATCCGCGATGATGAGGTGCAGGAAGCGGAGCAAAGGAGAGGAGGGCGGAACATGAAAATCATAATGAACACGGTGAAGAGAGGAAGTATGGTGATAGGAAAGACTGGAAACGTGCAAGAGCATGAGCAGGTAGGAACACGGAAGAGGAGCTTGGGGGAGGTAGGAAGAACCACAAGAAGCCTGAGGGAGGCAAAAGGCGCACCAGTGATCCGTGCGGAACGCGCGTGCGCCGTGCGCCCTCGCCAGCGAGGAAGTAGGAAGGGGTGGGAGGATCAAGGAGCAGGAGGAAGTAGGAGGAAATAGGAGGGCAAAAACATGCAGAATAAAGCATATGCTGACTCGAATCCCAAGCAAGTTGCGCTACGCATGAAAGCAAAGTGAAGCAACATGCATCCCACGCAAAAAAAAAACGAGGGCAACCGTTACATTAAGGAAAAGAAAAAGGGCGCAGGGGTAATTAATCGGAAGATGCACAGGAACGGGGAGGGAGCAGAAAAAGGAGGAGGTCACAGAAGAGGGACGAGGAGGAGGAGGAGGACAAGGAAGGGAAAGATACAGGATAGAGAGGAAAAAAAACACGCTGACGACGACGAGCATCAATCATCGAGGATCTCGAGTCGTTCGCTTTAGGTGCCTGCGGGGCGCCCCATCAACGTCGTCATATCGGTGCCGCCGCGGCGCTCTCTTAGGGCAATTCTGGCTGCCTTCGGCGGCTGTCTTGGAGCCCCTTGGGGCCCTCTTCGGGTCGTTTCGGAGATCTCCTGGGCCCCTCTTGGAAGCCTCGGGGGTCCTCCTGGGGCCATCTTGAAGCCGCCGGTCAAAGAAGTGGGGCCCTAGCAACGCCCCATTCCTTCTCGAGCCCCCCAGTCGCCAAATGCGGCCCTCTTGCGACGCCCTCGAAGCTTTTTGGGCCGCTCTTTGGTGCTCTTGGAGCCGACTTGGGCCCTGATGGCCCCCTCTCAAAGCAAGTTCAAACCAACTCGCAGCCATCTCGAGGCCTCTAGAAACTACGGAAAGCAAAACAGCGAGAAGGGAAAACATTGAAGCGCACAGTGATTGTAAAGGAGTTGAACCTGTTGGAGGCCTCCTTCAAGAGCTCGAAAAACAATTGCGGGCTGTCACGAAGCGGTCTTGAGGGGGCTTGGAGGCGCATTGGAAGCAAAATTGTACCATCTGCAAATATATGGAGCGATCTCGGAATCCTTCTTGGGTTGCCTGCGGTTCCTTTGGGGCCATCTTCGGCCATTTCGGGCGCCCCACCGCCCCGCGGCCACTCTCTGCCCACGCCCGGGGACGAGAGGGCAGGGGGTGCCCCCGTCCCTGCCAGGGAGAAACGCGCGGATAAGCTAGCCCGTTAAACCACCACCCACGCTCTGCATGGCTGGTGGGATTTTTCCACGGCCGCCTGGGAATACTATCCCGGATTCTCGAGTGAATTCTGCCCGGATTTTTCCAAATCCAAATGTGAATTTGCCCCGGAAACCGCGTGAATTTCCCCGGGCGCCCTCCGGATTTTTCCGCGCGCGTTTTTTCGATGCGCGCGCCCAGGGAAAAATCCACCAAGAATTCGGAGAGGTATTCAAAACGAGTTTTTGTTTTTCTCCCCGAAGTTTTCACTAGGCCGCGCGCGGAGCCTGGGAGGAGGGAGGGGGGGGGAGAAGTCGCAGGGAGTGGGGGGGGCACGCCGCAGGAGAGGGCCGGAGGGAGACAGGAATCCCAGCACCCCTCTAAGCGTGAGCGGCGTGACGAAGAAATTCATCCAAGCCCACTCTTCCCCTTCATGGACACGGTCCCCCATTTCCCCGCCCAATCCTTCATGCGCGGGAAGGTAGCCGCGGGTCGCTGGAGCGCCCAATACGGCCCAAAATGTATCCGAGATGGCTGCAAGGAGCCCAGATGCGCCTCCAATATCGCTCGATGCATCCCAGGACGATTCCGAGTAGCCTCCAACGTGCCTCTGAGAGTCGTCAAGACCGCTTCAAGACGGCCCCGCGTGCCCTTCGAGCTCTCCAAGGAGGCCTCCAAGACAAAAAAAGTGAAAACCATTGCGTGCGATGTGTTATGTCTCGTCGCCCTTTCGTTTTCCATGGGCCCTCGAGGCCTCAAGACGGCCGCGCCGGCCTGAGATGGCCCTCCAGAAGAACCCGACAGGCCCCAAGACGGCGCCGAGAGCGCTCAAGAGCAGCCGAAGAACGTCCCAAGAGAGCGCCAAGAGGCGACGCGGGCGGCTCCAGAGAGGGGGCGCTGCAAGGACCCCCCCCCTCCCCCGTGCCCTTTGACTGACGGCGTTTCCAAGATGGCCCCGAGAGGGCCCCCAAGGCCTCCAAGACGGGCCCACGAGACCCCGAAGAGGATCCCAAGGAGGCCCGAAACAGCCTCAAGAGGACCCCGTAGGCTCTCCCAAAGTGGCTCCAAATTAGCTCCACAATGGCCCACAAATCACCCCAAGGGGCTTCTAACAAGAGCCGTGTGCGAAAAACAAACAAAATCCTCCACGATTGATTCTGGCCGTCGTCGTGACTTTTTCTCTCCCACTCTTCCTTTTCCTACTCCTCGTCCTCATCCCGCCCCTCCTCCGTTTCCTCGTCATCCTCCTCCTCGTCCTCCTTCCCCGCTGCTGTTAATCCTCCGATTCCTCCTGCGCCGTCCTCGCGTTTCTAACGGAAGCCGCGTCGCCCTCTTGGTTGAGCACCATGCTGGCACACGCTTCTGATCAACACAAGTTGCCTGGGCACCGTCTCTGGAACTGCTTCGTCATGAGTGTTCTTACCCCCATGTCCTCCTACCTCCCCCATGCTCCTCCCACCTCCCCATCTGGCACATTCCTACATCCTCGTTTACGAAAGGATGCGGCGCACTGGTGTTCTGCGCGGATCACCAATGCGGTTGCTACCTCCCCCTGGCTCCTCGTAACCCGCCTCCCCCCCTCAGGTCCCTCATCATCCTTCCGACCTTCTCATGCTCTAGCACGTTGCTGTTTCCTCCAGCACGCGTCCATCCTTTTGCTGTTCCTCTTCTTTCGTTACTACTGGTCCTTCGCCACCATATTTGTTCCTTCGCTTCCCCCACCTCCTCTTCCTCCTCCCGCACAGAACCAGTGAAAACACATTCGGTTCGCTGCGGCGCCGCATGCTGCTACACATGCTGATCGAGGCAACTCGCCTGGTGATTGATTTTGCCTTGGCTGGCGGAAATACGCGAGGCGTCGGAAATGAAGGCAAAAAGGCGGATGAACAGTATAATCCCGCGGACCACGGCCGAAACGCGTCAGAACATATGCGAGGAGACAGGTCTGCAAGTTGTTTTGGACCCCTACAAAGCCTGTCTTGGGACCCTAGGGACTGCTTGCAATCCTTCTCGGGACCTGCTGGACTCTCCTCGAGCTCACTTGCAGCTTCCCCGGCGCCCTGTTGGATCCTGCCGCAGGCCCTGAGAAAAGAAGATGACAGCGGGAGGGAAATGAAGAGAAAAACAATGCAGGCAAGAGGAATAAGATAAATGAATACGATGAGGAAGAATCAAGGGCACGGAAGACATTCGAAATTCGCTGGCCACGCGGCATCCACACGAACGCCCGAGCCACATGATCGATTGACGTGCGCATATCAGAAAAAAAGGAAAATAAAAATGAAAAACGAAGACGCAAATCCACGCTGGATTCACTCTTAGCACCGGCGAAACCAACAATGGGAGCTCCACCGAAGGTCACAGTGGCGCAACCCGCATGCGCTTCCGACATACACAATACAACGTTTCGTGGCCCGTTAGGGAGCTCCACGTAAGGTCCCAGTGACGCAACCCGCATGCGTCTCTCCCACCCAATATAGCGTTTCGTGGCCCCATAGGGAGCTCCACCGAAGGTCCCAATTGCACAGCCGGCACACGATTCCCCCACTCAGTACAACGTTTCGTGGCCCCATAGGGAGCTCCACCTAAGGTCCCAGTGACGCAACCCGCATGCGTCTCTCCCATCCAGTACAGCGGTTCGTGGCCCCACAGGGAGTTCCGCTCCACCGAAGGTCCTAGTGTCGCAGCCCACAAGTGTCTCCCCACCCAGTGCAGCGTTTTGTGGCCCCATAGGGAGCTCCACCGAAGGTCCTAGTGGCGCACCACAGGTGGCACCACCGAGGGTCCCAGTGGCGCAGTCCGCATGCGTGGTTCCCCTCCGGGTGCAACGTTTCGCGGCCCCATAGGGAGCTCCACCGAATGGTCCCAGTGGCGCAGCCCGCATGCGACCCCCACACCCAGTACAACGTTTCGTGGGCCCATAGGGAGCTCCACCGTCCCCGTGGCGCAGCCCGCATGCGTCTCCCCCACACCCCAACACAGCGTTTCGCGACCCCATAAGGAAGCTCCACCGAAGGTCCCAGGGGCGCAGCCCGCATGCGTCTCTCCCACCCAGTACAGCGCTTCGTGGCCCCATAGGGAGCTCCACCGAAGGTCACAGTGGCGCAGCCCGCATGCGTCTCCCCAACCCAATACACCCTAGCGTGGCCTATAGAGAGCTTCGCCTACGGTCCCAGTGTCGCGGCCCGCATGCGTCTCTCCTACCCAATACAACGTTTCATGGCCACGTAGGGGGCTCCACCGGCGGTCTCAGGGACGCAGCCCGCATGCGTCTTTCCCACGGAGTAAGTGCAGCGCTTCGTGGCCCCAGAGGGAGCTCCACCGAAGGTCCCAGTGGTGCAGCCCGCATGCGTCTCCCCCACCCAGTACAGCGCTCCGTGGCCCATA